TTGCTATTTTTTATTTTTCAAATTTCGAACAGACCTTCGCGTTACGTTAGCCAGTAGGCAGCGCGCTGATTTTAAAAAGTATAAGTAGTTTCTGCTAATCGTGTTCAACAGGCGCTTTACATTTTTTTTTTATACTACTATGGTGGCAAACAAGCATACGGCCCATCTGATGGTAAATGGTTACCGTAGCCTATGGACGCCTGAAGCACCAGGGGTGTCACGTGCGCGTTGCCGACCCTTAAGAAACCTTAATATACCCTTCTTGAAAAACCCCATGCTGTAGTCTCGTGAGAAAACCTCGGCAGGAAGTTCATTCCACACACATCCTCAAATTCATATAATTTACTAGATGTACCCGCAACTTCGTCCGCGTGTAATTTAACTTTATTTTTCTAGAATAAAAGAATTTTTCTAAAATATAATTAGCCTAAGTTACTCCTTATTACATCAGCTACCTGCCAAAAAAAGTCCCGTCAAAATCGGTCCAGACAAAAATTGTAAAAAATGTTTTTTGGTGTAAGTACCGTCTTTTTAAACATATAGGTATGTGAGAAAATATAATAATAATTAGTCTCGTAGTGGACACAATGAAATTTGTTAATAACAAACTCTGATGCACTGGTTAACAATACATTAAATTATGCCATTTTGTTTTACAAAGTTAAAATTATGAGTAGTGAATTGACAATTAGATACATTAATCTATACATATAAATAAAATTGGAGTGTCTGTTTGTAATATTGAAATAACCGTTTTTTACATGCATGAATATAAATACGATGAATAAATCCTAAATGAAAAACGAAACGAATACAATAAAAAAATGTTACAGTATCTTATAAACGTGAAAGTTTGTGATGGATGGATGTTTGTTACTCTTTCATGCAAAAACTACTGAACGTATTTTGATGAAACTTTACAGTAATATAGCTTTATACAGCAGAATTACACAGGCTATACATTTCACGCGGGTGAAAGCGAGGGTACAGCTAGTATATTAAAATAGTCTTATTGATATCCATATGTGTAATAATATTATATAATGTTTTATTTTTTATATACCATAAAATTACAATATTAAAAAAAGGCGTATATATGTAACAGTTGGTTCTAGATAATCAAATAGATATGAGTACATATATATTATGTATATTTTTATATAACTAATAATGGAATAGTGCATCCGCCTGCGCTAACGGTTTACACTGGCTATCGTCCTGTACAGGTGCCCCGCCATGGCAGGGCACCTGTACAAGATGATAAGATGAGCATGAGGTCAGGCCAGTTAGCCTATCGTGACAAATTCACTAAGAATTTATCACGATGGTTTCCAGGGGGAACCACGTGGAGGTCAACCTGACATGGTACATTGCTAGCAATAGGATCGTCAGTCCACATTATGTATGTTTGATTACCTAGAACCTATTATATTACCTGTGCCTATCCAACTTCAACAACTTATAAATATCTTGAGGTACTCATATGAGTAGTATCATAAATTTGAATATAGTGTGGTCTTTTCCTTTCGAAAACTCACCGCTTTCCCTATTTTGGTTTTTTGATTGAGATATTTATATAGTATATTAATGTTGATTAAAAAATGTAGATAACGTTATAAAATGTAAAAAATTACGACCTTTTTTTTCTTTTCTTTTTGCTCCGGCATTGACCAACTTGAACTTGAATAATAAAACTTATTTTTTCATAAAGTTTGAATTTAGAATGTACATAGAGGATATTGTCTATTTTATTATGACTCTGTGCCAGTGCTCGACTCTGGACACCCACATTACGTCCTGGATTTGAGTACTACCACAGATAAGATAATATTACCATATATAGCATAATATATGACATAGTACAACTTAAATGAGTAGATATCGATACCTGTTACATATCGGAACATCCCTACCAGCTACCAATACCGGCATAACTGAACATGAGCATCGTGAAGTTATTAATAGTTGGCAAGTTTATCGATACAATGCGGCGGCAATTACGGAGTTATCGGTTGATAGACATACTAATAGCTCTCGTAACCGGTTTTGCTGAAGTTCCAAGCGGTGCTCTACGTGGTTGTTTGGAACGAGGTGTATTTTATGGTACAGTTAGCTTCATAAATATATTTCATGATATATTATAATGAAACCAGGATCATCATTTCATTATCACATTTAATGGATGATAATAAAATAGTGCACCCGCCTGTACTACAGGTTTTTTTTTTTTGTGGATTATAATGGAATGATGCACCCGTTTACGCTGGCGGTGCACCAGTGAAGGATGATAAGATGAGCATGAGGTCATGTCAGTTAGCCCAACATGACAAATTCACTAGGAATTTATCACAATGGTTTCCAGGAGGAACCGCGTGGAGGTCGACCTAATATGGTACATTGATTTTTAGTATTGCTAGGTGCACCATTCCATTTTCATCCATTACGAGAAATACTAGCAACGGGTAATGAGGGCGAATGGAACTGTTAATAAAGTGGACTAAATAAGCCATTGCTAGCAACGCAGCATGTTGACTCTCTCCTCTCTTACTCTTATTTACTTTACAAAAGAGGGCCATTCGCTCCATTTATGGTATGGGTTCCAGGGAGTCATTGCGAGAGTGTTTTAAGGAATCAAATATCCTCACCGTTGCTTCTCAATACATTTATGAAAATATCATCTATGCCAGAAGGAATATAGACAGTTTCAAAAGAGTTAGTGATTGCACTAATAAAAGCTTACGTAACAATAACAAACTGATTTTACCTAAATGTCGTTTGGCTAAAGTTAGTAATTCGTTTTATGGCAATTGCGTAACGTTTTACAATAAAATACCAGAGTCTGTTATAAATCTGCCAGAAAAAAGATTTAAATGTCAAATAAAACAGTTCCTTTGCAAAAAAGCTTACTATAAAATTGAAGAATTCGTTAACGATAATAATGTTTTTATAGAAAAACTTTAAATCTATAGCACTGACAATATTATCTGATTACATTAATAATGAGTGCGTAGCGACTTCTATGTTGATTATCGCATGCCTCTTACTTGTTATACTGTAATTATTTATACAAAAAAAAACATCTATTACAAAGAGCAACACACAAGTTTCTTGCTCATTCTTCTTGTGATGAATCTGCAATCCGAATGCGTGGTAGAATAAAAATATGACTCTCTATTTCTATTTCTATTTCTGTTACTCCACTCCTCCAATTGTTATACCGTTCAAAATTCATACAAACATCGCAATACATATTCTAATTTTATGTATAGATGCTAATATTTAAAATTATTGACCAATTTAGAAAAACCTTTCTTCCAAACCCACAAGTTGTGAACAATTGTAATCCTCGGTTGAGATTACAGATAAATTGTCGTTGAATGTTTTCTTTCAATATATTACGAATAAATATAAATATACTAAGCTGAGTGTTAGGGGCAAAAACCCTCCAACTGGGCCCGGAACCCTTCTGTGGTGTGTCTCGTTGCCTAAAACTGGGACATCTCAAATTAATAACCAACGAGAAGCACTGACTCACTGGCAAGGAATGCCAGGATTAACACATTCAAAAGGCCTAATATCGGGCTACTCGAACAAATACTCCAATAGACTACTGCTATTGAGTAAAAACAACATATGCATGATGACTAGGGCCCTCACAGGACACTGCAAATTAAACAAGCATATGGCTAAACTAGGCCTATGCACGACAAGTATCTGCAGATTCTGCCAAACTGAAGAGGAAACGCCGCTTTACATCCTATGTGGTTGTAGCCCACTCATGCATAAACGAAATATCTCCTTTGGAAAGTGTACACTCTTTCCCGAGGAGATAAAAACCATCGCTCCTAAGAATATCCTTCAATTCTTGTCCCTGACTGGTCTAGGTAGCGAACTTTGAAAAGGGCAATAGATCTATGTAGGTTGCATTGCTACAGGTGCTACACATCAGACAATAGCCCAAACAACCCAAAAAAAAAACTGAGTGTACTTAGTGTAGATTTATATTTAAAAAAAAACAAATTTAATTATAAGTATTAATTATATTACATATAAATAACAGTAGTCTTGTTATAAATAACAATATGATAGCTTAATTAAATGCTTTTATAATTTTATACAATCGACATAATAATGTATGGTTCTTTTTACATTTTTAATACAATAATCAGTTACTTAATTTAATGCATTAAAGATATCTGATGAGTTAGTTACATAGTAACTATAACATCCTAAATTGTTGAAGAGGCATCAATCGTCATGATCAACATTTTACATTGGAATCATGATTAGAACACAGTGTGTATATCGGCGGAAGCAAACTGAAGTTAAAAAACCCAAATTTCACAAAAAAATCTTTTATAGTTAATGTTTTTTTATAGTTAATGCTTTTCTTTCAAAAATCACAATATCTCATACATTTATTCAAGTAAGTCAAGAGTGTTGAAAATTTATATGTATTTAAACAATTTTCGACTTATCTCAATTAACAGTTATGAATTTTTGAAATAGATTTTATGTGTAAAGTTAGGTTTTTAACTTACCTTTTTAACCTTGTTCTTTCATTAATATGTAGAGGTGAAAGTTTAGATTTCATTTTAATTGTCCCTAAATATTGAATTACTATAAACCATTCACCAATTTCTATATGACACTCTCATTGGGTAGACGGAAAAGATTTTCACTTTAAGATAAGTCTACCCTGGCTCTATATATGTTATCCTGTTTTTAAAGTAACTAGAGAATATTAATTGTTACACAAATATTCTTAACCAGAGCTTTTATTTTATGTCTTGCTGCAAGTACAAGTTTTTATGATGATGTATTTTTAAAGCACAAATTTTGGAAAAATGAACTTCCAGCTGACAACATGAGGAAGGAGTAAGCTTTTCTTGATGGTTTCAATATTGTATTGGTTCAGAAATACCAGTTCTGAAAGATAACGTAAAATCTTGTACTGCCTATATATACATTACATTTGTTTAGCAATATCATGAATTTCTCCCTGTTGGTCTACTGAATTTTTATATATTTACATATACATTTCAACAATTTCCCATACATTAACAATTTTAATTAAATACTAATTAATATACATGAACCATTCCATAAATAAATGTCCAGAAGAGAACATAAGTGAAGAGTGCACCAAAGAATCCATTTGTGAGTAAACTTTGCCTGGATACATGATATTTATCCCAGTTTGGCCCCGTCTTGATCAGGAACATGATCCATAAACTGACCACGGCGAAAACATAGAAGGCGAATCCATACAATCCAGTCAAGCCAAGTACACCTGCAATGTAGAAAACATATTTCTATGGAACTTTTATTTTATTTCACTTATTTTGAAATTTAAATATGGAACTATACTAAAATTCCAGATTTAAAATTCAATGAATGAATGAATGAATGAATGAAACTCTTAATTGTTCCTCTCATAGAAAATACAATTATGTATAAAATGATAAAAAAAAAATAACAAACAAGACAAAGAAGTAACAATGGGCGGCCTTATTGCTAAAAAGCGATCTCTTCCAGGCAACCTTAGGATGGAGAGAAGTGATTAGATTTGCGTCTGGTAGAGGTGTAATGATGGTAACAATATTGGAAGAAATGTTATAAATATACATATATCATAATACAATAGAAAACAATATAATAAACTTATATATACATATATATGAATATATATACAATCATATATACAAACAACAGTAATACTACTATTACGATAACTTACGTAAATAGTGGTTTTCAACATTCTTAGCACATTCAAAAATATAATTTATCTATATATTAATATGTATTAAAGTACATCTATAAAACTGCCAGTGCCCATAGTGCCAGCATTGTGAAATTTGGGATAAGATAGTATTATTTAAGATGTTTTAGGGTTTAATATAAAAATATTGAGAATGTTATTTAAAAACAGGAAGAAGTTAACTTAATTAACATAATGTTAGACTAAACCTTGATTTAATATTTGTTGTAAATCTAAAACAAGTAATATTAGAAAGTGGTAATCTTTGTTAGTTTCGATGTTTGAGGTTATCTCCAGTACTCCTGATATAGTTTTGAAAATACTTTTTAGTATTAGATAGCACAATTAGCAAGGAAGGTTTAGTTAGTTATACACAGGGTATTAGTTATACATCACACTACAGAAAATAAAAAACGAGGATAATGTTAAAAATAAGAAGTTGCATTCAGGTAAATAATAGCTTGTATTTATGGACAAATTTTCTACAAACCAAATGAGACAGTAAACAGTTGACTTTGTGTCCAAATATACTTTCAACAGGGGACTGGTGTGACAATCGAAACATGTAAAATATTTGTATGTAACGGTTTGAATTAAATTTAATGTAAGTAGGTTAACAATTAACATTAAGTTAGAAAATACATAAGATATAGATACAGATCTCTACTACCAGGTAAGTGGGATTAATACTTTGATCATTTTATTTGTATCTATATTAATATCAAGAATGCAAAAGTGTCGTCAAGAGTAATTGTAACATTCTGACAACTGAAATTTTAATGAAATTTAGCGTAAAACGATGCACCATTCCATTATAATCCACAAAAAAAAAATTGTAACATTCTGACGACTGAAATTTTAATGAAATTTAGCGAAACGATAGGATCTGCAGGTACAGAGAAGCAACTTTTTTTTAAATCAGGCAAAGACGCGATTGTATACAAGTTTAATTAAATTAATGTAATTGAAAATACCTGCAGTGGATCCCGACAAAGCAGCCATCGATGTTCTACAGTATTCCACAACACCTGCATTGTTTCTTAATGCAGCTTCACTGTAAGCAATAGGCTCGGCCTTGTTATCTTTCACTTTAGTAAGAGACATTATTTTCCCTAAATTATCTAATATCTTAAGTTTAAATACAGTAAAAAGATAATTTTTATTAATAAAATTACTTTAATTCTTATAAAGTAAAAATTACAATGACAGATAATTAACTGAGTGCTGCACTGACTGAATGATCTGTCATTTAACTGACAATCACTAAATGAATGACATTGACTTACACAGTGATATCAGTTCGTGATTGATACTGATACGTGATGTTCTTCATAAAAGGGTCAATGTAGGGTCCTCCTGGCGTGCCACATTACCCCAGCATCAAATCCGGGGGTTCCCAAAACTAAGTTAAGAGTTAGTATCATTTACCATTAGATGGGCATGACCCATCTCTTGGTAAATTGTTACCGTTGGCTTCTTTGCATCATCGTAGTATAAAAAAATACGTTGACTCTGCTCTTATGAAAATAAAATATGTCTATACCTACCTACCAATAAATGATGAAAAAAGCCTATAGCTAATTATAACTAGCTACCCAATGGACACCAGAAAAATCAGGGGTGTCACGTGCATATTGCCGACCCTTAAGAAAGCTTGAGAAAACAGCGTCTATCAGTGCTAATAACGTACATATCATCAGCTCGCCTACCAAAAACGTCACTTCCACTCGCTTGTGTAAATAGAAATGGCAGAAAACACTATCCAATTCCATAAAAAGACATCTGCACTCCCTAGAGTATTTGAAAGTTGGGGCACTGGGCAAAATCCTTTGCCTAGGTATTAACTCATGGGGGAACAACCCTCGTAATAGTAATGGGATTAGAGACTTTTGATGGGTGGATTATTCGACAAGTTAGTCTAATCAGTTAGTCTAATCTAAATCCGCCCATCAAGAAGCTGCTAGGGATTACAATTAACAAAAAAAAAATAGTTATTTACAAATTATTATAAAACTTATATTAGTATAAAAACTAGTGCCATACTGTTATGTTCGATTTTAATAAAAAATATTTCGTCAATCACAGTATACTGTGTATGTCAATCCGTCATTCATGTCAAAACGACAAAATTTGAAAGTGTCGGTAAAGTAGTAGTGATAAGCGAGCGAAGCCATTGAACTATAATTGTGTGAATACCTTACACATATGTGTGTGTTTTTAAAAATGTAATCTGTATTCTCACGCACACTACTGTAGACTTTCTGTCCATGTCGGTTTTCGCGGTAGAGCGTCAGTGAACTTATTTTCATTTATAATTCCTTGAATAATTTAATTTAATATTCGATTGGTATTTTACTTTTTAAGTTAAAGGTGATCACATTTCTAGATGTATTTGTTTTGAAGTTTAGGAAGTTGTTTCTTTGGTATTTGTGTCAAAATTAAGTGATGGCGGGCGTGTAATTCATACTATCCCCTGTCTCGATATATAACTAAGGACTTTGTACGAACTATATTTCAACGTTAATAAATCTAGTTAATGTTTTGGTACCTGCGTAATTGATGCTTCATGGAAATAGTGCTAAATTGTATAGTTGAGTGATAGTTACTGTGAAAAAAAGAAAATTAAGTTTTCGATTTTAACTCTGTCTCTTGGCTACCAAGGGAACAAATTATCTGCAATTTTCTTGAATGCATTCAACGATCACGAGGTCAGGACACGACGCAATGTGAGGGTGAGTCGATGTGTAGCATGTTCATTCATAAATTATAAGTATCACAACTGATTATTATGGAATATTTGATACAATTATATAAATAACCTATTTCACTCGTAGTAATGAACTTCATTTTGATTCTTTTGTTTCAGTTGTAGGTCGTAACCTTTTTTAAAGGATTGCTACATAATTGTGGCACTCTGACGCGCAATAATGCATTTTGTTATGCTGATAGTTGTGAGATCAGAGTAAATTATTCGAAATTTACGATTTTTTTAGACTCCCTTAATTAATTACGTGAGACCCCTACATGACGTTTTAAATGCGTCGATATTAATAAAAATGGATGAATCCGAGGATAACATGAGTATTGATAGCTTAAGAACAGAGAGCAGTCCGCTGACAATCAAAACAAAACCAAAGAAGAGGTCACTTGTTGAACGAGAACTTGAAACAAATCTGACAGCACGAGTCACATCACCGATCACCAATAGTGATGGAACTACGAGTAGATATGGCCGTGCTCGTCGACTTAAAGCGGACTCGGAAGTCAGTGACACTGAGGTCGTTGTGAGATCAGTGAAGACCCCAGTATTAGATAAGACCCCGACAAAGATTCAATCACCAGTTTATAAGATGCATGCATCAAATTCACCAATCAAACTAGAACCCTCTAAAAGTGCTCCAAAAAGGATATCCATTGAGACTAACCTTGACAATCAAATAGAGAATATATATCATGAGAACATCTTGTTAAGTAGATTTGGTTCAGAGGAGAAGAAGAGTGTTTCTCCAATTAATAAAGCACCAAAAGTGTATGTACGTAAAGATTTAATTCAGAAAAGAGATGATGATGATGATGATGATGCAATCACTTTAATAAAGAACATATTTTCACCAGTAAAAAGTACATCTAAGTCTAATAGTCATTTGAGGAACATTCTAGAGAGATCCTCTGAAAAATATGGTTTGAATAGCACTGCAAAATCACAAGGATATGCATCTGTTGTTAAAACTCTTGATTTTGATAACAAAAAGAAAAGGAAAGAAGCTAGGGATGTTAAGACTGTTTTATCCAAAAGTGAGGTCTTTGATTTGGAGGCCAGGTGCGAGTATCAGGTTGGAGACTTGGCTTGGGCCAGAATGGGAACATATCCCTTCTGGCCATGTATTATTACAAGAGACCCATTTAGTGGCATGTTTGTTAAGAAGAAGTGTAAGTATACATTTTTATATACCAATAATTTTTAATACTTATTAAATTCTATATTTAAAAATTGGTATTCATAAATTGAATGTAATTAAATGTAATCTACCTTTTACTAGAGGTAAGTTAAGGAAAAAAGTGAAATAACAATAGAATAGAATAGAAAATCATTTATTCAAATAAACTTAATTTATCATGTAATAACAATATTTTACAAAGTTCAATGAGTCAGTTTATAGTCTGGAATACAGATTGCATGATATAAATTAAAAGAAAAATAACTTATTATACTGTAATAACTTATTAAAGGCCTTTATACAATTCCTTTAAAACAAACTTTCATATATAAATTAAAAAAAAAATTATGTAAATAAATTGCTTTTTTCAATTATTGTAATCCTATGAGGCACATCAAGGGATTTGTACCCAATATACATCATTTGTGTGTTTAAATAGCCATATTTATCTTCTGGCCAAAGTAACTACAATATCATCAACACATCACAAGTACCCTTGATGAGCTATGCTGAAAACAAGTTAAAAACAACTTAGCTACTTGGCTCCATGGGCACAACACCTCCATACAAATGTAAAAAAAAAAGTCATTATCATGTAATATAATAGTAACTTTGTCACATGATGATTGTCTAGATTAAATGGGGTCTACAAATAGACAAAAATATTTTAAATCTTTGTAATGAATTAAAAAATCTAAAAGTGAGTTTGTCTAATAAGTTAGGATTAAAACTATATATATAATATATTGTTAGATAAAATTCAAAAGTGATATATCACTTCAGAGCTTCGGAGTTTAATACATTGATAGGATGGAAACATAATATTTATTTATTAGTGTTACAACAATAGTTGACATACATTAAAGAAAGAAAATAAAGAAAAATTTATTTATTTGACCTATTACAATACAATGTTCAAAATGTATATCTATGAGTATGGATGGATGTTTGTTACTCTTTCATGCAAATACTACTGAACGGATTTTGATGAAAGTTTACAGTATATAGTTTATACATCAGAATAACATAGGATGTAAATTTCATGCGGGTGACACAGCAGGCGCAGCTAGTCTTTAATATATGAAATGTAATTGTAAAAAATGGTATTTTGAATGTTTGTATCGCTGTATATAGTTATAGATGTCTTTGTTGAATGATCAAATTTGTCTCCTTTCAGTATTTGGACGAATAGAAAGGGATGTGATGCATGTAACTTTCTTTGGAGACAATGGACGCCGCAGCTGGATTGTGGACAGTATGTTGAGAAAATTCCTTGGACAACTTGAGTTTGAGGCCACGAGAGAACAGTTCAGCCCTTCTGTAAGTATAACAATTATGCATTTTACACTTAAATCATAAACTATAAAAATAGTATAATAAAAACACAGGACATTTAACAGTGTTATCTAGTCCCTCAGTAAGTAGAACTTGCGTTATGGGTACTAGACAACTGATACAAAAACTTTTAAATGCATACATAATGTACATAGAAAATATACAGACTGATACAAACAATCATACTCATGAAAACAAATGTTTGCACCATGCAAGGAATTGCAACTGTGACTCAGGTGTAAAGTGGTTGCAGCACTTTAATCGCAGTTAAACCACTAGAACAGAGACCCAGTCAAAAAAATATTGTGCTTTATCCTTATTGCATCAAGATAATTTGCAAAATGCTGGTTCACTTGTTAATAACTTATATATTTATGTAAGATGTTTGAGTTTACTTTGAAATCTACATAAAAACAAAGAATAATCTAATATATTAATTTATAAAATTAACACTAATTTCGATATTGAATATGTTATCTTTCAATGCATTTTTTATACTAATCTATTTATTTTGTATTTATAGGCAAAGAAAAGAGATCCGAGGTTTTATTCAGCGTTTTTTATATCTGAGAAGAAACTACCTCAATGGAATAAATCCGTTGAGGAGGCCGAAATATTGTTACGCGAACCAAAAAGATTAAGGATAGATTTACTTAATGACATGTTAGTGAAAGAGAGAGCAGCAAAATGTACCTCAAAACATAATAGAAGTGGAAAAATAACTAGAACAGATAGTGATGTATCATTAAGTGAGAGTTTATATGACACTTTATTTTCTGAAGATGATGGAAAGACTGAAGATTCTGATAGATCTCGGAATAAATCCAGAAATAAGTCACTTGATGTATCCGAAGTTGTTACAGCTTGTCTTGATAATATGGCCGCCAAAACTGGTATTACAAAAATACAAAGACAATCACATATGGATAGATGGTTACAAAAAGCAAAATCTAAAACACCAGAAAAATCTCAAGCGAAAGTCCATGTTACACAAAAAGAATCTAAAAGTGCAATTCTCAGTTCTTTACGTAATAATTCTATTGCTAATAAAAAAAAGAAACCTGTACTGAAACCAATAATAATACAAAAACCTTACAAATTAAGAAAATCTAATAATCAAGCTCAGAATTTATTATCACATGAAAATGAACAGGATTCTAGTACCGAATTCAATACTTCATCTGGACTAGAACATAAAGAAAATGGTAAAAATTTTGAACATAAAATTAATGATTCTATTGAACATAGTGTTATTGCTGAAGTTGAAAGTTCCAGTGACATAGCGCAAGACAATGACAAAAATGATAATGAAAGCAATGCTCTTAAATCAATACAATGTAACATAAATACAAATTTGAAAAATGAAGATATGGAAAATTATGATACTAGCAGCAACACAGAAAATGTATTTGAAGATATAAAATTTTCTGTAGATAATATTGAAGTTAATAAATATAACCTAAATGATAGTGAAACAAATAGCTCCTTACAAGAAAATAGTCAAGACAATATTTCTAACGTACAAAATGACAGTGAAGTCAGTAATATTCAGCTAAAAAACGAAGAAGTATTACAAGAAGACAGAATTATTGATTACTTAGAAACTGAAGAAAATGAAAATTCATATGGTATAAAGACTTCTAATAGAGATGACAATCAATTACATATAACAGACATAGAAAATAGTTATGAAGACAGTCAAGAAAATATTTCAAATCCAAAAGACAGTGAAACAAATCCTAATCAATCTAATGATAAAATGAATGAATTAATGACAAAAGGACTAAAAGAAAGTTTAAATAATATATCATTCTCTGAAATACAATCTAATAGTATCACTGAAGATGGTGTCAATGAAGAGTCTATGAATGCAATAGAGACTGAAAGTACTGATGAGATAAATTTGAATGTAAAACCAATTGATAACTCTAAAGAAATTGATAATGAAAATCTAAATATACTTATACATGAAAAACTTGATACCAAACTGAATACTGTAACTTCAATTGATCTGTGTCTTCCACACTTAATGCAAAATGGTGATATAAATTGTAAAAGTTTAAATGCTGAAGACAAAAGCAGTAAATATTTGGATGATGCTGAGTTGGAATCTCGTAATGGTGATGTTTTAGATATATTTGAACAAGTAATTAGTGATAACCAAGAAGTTCCTGAGTTTAGCGATAATTGTAAAAAAAATGTTTCCATGAAAGAGCCTGTAAAAGAATTAGACATTACAAACATAAATGAAAAAGATATGTCAAATCAGAATAGTAATTATTTGTATAATATTCAGCTGGAATCTCATAACATTGATGCTGATGTGTCTAAAAAGGTATCTTGTGATAATGAAACTTGTACTGACAGTACAGAAAGTGGTACAAAACATGTGATCATTAATGGTATAGATAAAGAAATAGATTTTAATGTAGTCAAAAACCATATAAAAAGTCAGAACATTAAATGTTTGTTTGGCAATGAGTTGGAATCTCATAACATTGAATCATCAGAAGCGTTCGAAAAACAATCTTGTAACGACCAAAATGTGCTTGATGGTGGTATGAATAATAGGAATAAATTTGATGTGACGGAACAAAAACAAGCATTAAAAGATAATGTTACAAATATCACTAACACAATGGAAATAAATGACTCGAGCTTTGAATTTACTGAGAGATATGAAACAGTAAATCTGAAGACCGACATTAATGAACGGGATTTAAATTCTGACATGGAAATATCTATATATGAAAACAAGGTACAAACAAATTTAAAAATTCATGTTTCTAATAATTTACAAAATGAGTGTTGTCCTTTTAATAGTAGTATTGAAATTGTTCGTAGTTTCAGACCTACTAATAAAGATTTTGAAGCAGAAGACGTAAAATTAAAAGGAAGCAAGCATCTTACCTCTGAAGATTATAAAGATATTCATGATATTGAAAAACAAGGTGATAATATGGGTAATGTGTCTAGTGTAAATGATTTTAACGAGAGTGTAAATAAAAACAATAATGTAACAAAAGTTGAAAATGATTTAATTAAAAATTTAATGTGTTTAAACCAATTGTGTTCTAGTAATATTCAACTAGATACTATAGAAAACCATAATTTAAACAATGACCTGGAATGTGTTGTCCAGGTAAATAATGATGAAGTGTTTAATAACGACTCATCTCTAGAAATAACTGACTCTGATTCCGTTAAAATGAATGGCTTTCACCATTCTACATTTCAAGATTACTTAGATGCTGAAACATCGTCATTGAATTCAGAAGATAGTGAGCCTTTGTCTATTACAAGACTTAAACTTAAAAATCTTAAAGATACTAATAAACTATTGAATCCAGATTTCGTGCAGTATTTAGATATGAAACTGGATGATTTGATAGAAGAACATCCTAACCAGACACGAGATGAAATTGTGGAATATTTGTATAAAACCTGGGAGTATGAACAAAATACAAAATCGGATTTTAGAAAGAACGATGAAATTAAACAATTGAGTATGATAAAAGGCTTAACAAACCAGGATGCTGTTCGAAAAAAACATGACCAAAATTTTAAGTTAGAAGCTGGTAAAAATGAAGATATTAAGCAGTCGTATATGTCAGATGAGTTAACACACTACAATGGCAATAGGAAAAAAAGTGTAAAAGATAACGTGAGAAACGAAAAGGTCGTTAAAAACAAAACTCTGATAAAAGAACAAGCTAAAAATAAGCATAGGCTTTCTTTAAAACGTTGGTTAATACCGCAGACTTCTGAAATGCCAGAAGTTAAAAAGGATAAAGATATAACGGAAATAAAAAACAAAGTTAATGAAAATACGGGCCTAGATTTCATAAAGGTACCAGTAGAGAATATGAGTCAACAACACTTCGAATCATTTACGATTCAGCATTTAAATACAGAATCATCTCCCCACATAGCTGAAGCAATGAAATTAGATAATACAGAAATTAAATTAGAATTAGAAAATCAACCAAAGGATGATAATGAAATTGAAGCTATTGCACTATGTTCCTTACAGAAAAAATTATCTGAAAATCTAGTCAAACAAATTAATTCAGCCCAATTTCTTAATGACAAACATAACGATGAAAAATATAATGTTAAAGTTGAATTTGATTCTGAGAATATATCAATACATTCTGAAGAGTCTGATGCTTCAGTGTCCAAACGGAAACGCCTGAAACCCGGAGAAAAATCTGTATGCAATTTAGATGATCCGGAGTTTGTAAAATACTTAGAACTCAGACAAGATACTTTGATTGACGAAAATCCTCAGTTAACACAGGCGGAAATAAAATCATATTTATATAAAACTTGGCTATATGAGGAAAGTGTAAAGTCTGAAATTAAAAAGAATGATGAAATCACACAATCCAATTTGGTGAAAGGATTACAACAGGACGCCCCAGTGAAGAAAATAAGAAAAAAAGTTAAAGCAGAAAAAGAACTTCTAGTTGACAATATTGTGATGAAAGATAAACCTAAACGTAAGACATCTCAACCTTATTATAATGAAGAGATTTCAGATATTGAAGATGACTTGGAAATGTTTGAAATAGGAAATAATACCATAAACGAAATAAGTAACCTTGATAAATTACAAGTTGGTAGAAAAACAAATGAAGTTATAGAATTATATGAAGAAGAAATCGATGAAGTAGAATTATATTTTGAAGATTTGACTAGACCTAAACCAAATATATTCAAAGGATTGATCAGAGAAAAAGTCTGTAATATTTGTGAAAAAACTGATAATCTCATTAAATGTAAAGGATGTAGCAACATGTTTCATTTCGACTGTGATAAGAAAGAGAGTGAGAAAGTTATTGAAGTATCTATACCATCAAGAGGTCGTAAGAAGAAGAAAAAGATTGGGCGCAAGTCTAAAAATCTTGAAGATTCAGGTAGTCACAGCGACGAGAGATCTCAAGATATATCTGATGAGCATATGTCCATTGATGATATTGTAGAACCTGTACCCCGTGTAGTAGACGCCGATAGTTTCGAAGCACAATTGGCTGATAAAATGAAAGAACTGCTCGATTCTTATAACCTAGAATATGAGTCGTACTCAAGTGACGACGGTATTAATTGGGACAATTGCATTGCTGGTAAATGTGAGATTGTTGATGTAAAATTGAAACCAAAGAAGGAAAGTAATGATTATTCAGATTTTAAGTGCAAAAACTGTCAGAAGTATGATATCCCAGTGTGTTTTGTATGTAAACAGGCCACATCTAAGTCTGGATTGGTGTATAGACAGAAATGCCAGGTCGCTCATTGTTGTAAATATTATCATATAGAGTGTTTGGACCACTGGCCTCAAACTCAGTTCAGTTCAGGGGAAATTTCGCGGAACAAGAAAAAGAATGAACATGTAGAAGCTTTGACGTGTCCACGTCATGTATGCCACACGTGTGTATCAGATGATCCTAGGGGTTGCAAGACGAGATTCAGTGGGGACAAACTGGCCAGGTGTGTTAGGTGCCCAGCCACATATCATACGTTTACGAAGTGTTTGCCAGCGGGAAGCCAAATATTAACGGGCTCTCTTATAATTTGTCCACGGCATTATGAGCATAGGTAAGTTTTTATTTTTTTTTATCTAGATAGTGTAAGCTATAATTATTAGTTTTCATAATTATTTACTGAGGTACGTTTTGTAACAATCTTGTGCGTTGTCTATTTTAGCCTGTCCTTAGTACTAAAGTTTTTGTCTCCATTCCCTGTAATTTTAACTGCCATATATCATCTTCGATTCGAAACAGCGATAAATACAAAAATTTGTGATTATGGATGGATGTTTGTTACTCATTTTGTTGTAACTATACAGTGATATAGCTTATACATCAGAATAACACAATATAAATATATAATATAACTTTGATGCGGGTGAAACCGCGCGCATATCTAGTACATGTAATATTTAAACATTGAAACTGATAAACAAAAATAATAACATAAAAATTATTCCAGTTTCATGCCAGTTCTTATCAACTGAAGTAACTACTCGAACTGTACGTAGGGTTAGCGATAAAATATGACTTGCAAGAGGCCTATGTGAATAAATTGTTTTGAATTTTGATCGTTGTTTTTACAGTGCAAATTGCAATGCCAAAAAAGTTTGCAACCTATATATTATATTTCAGACCCGGTAAGGTCCCATGCCACGTGAACACCGGGTGGTGTTTCATCTGCGCGTTGGGCGGTACTCTCATATGCTGTGAATACTGCCCTACCTCGTTCCACGCTGAGTGCCTTAACATTAAACCACCTGAAGGTATGTGTATTTAATATTATTTAAAACCTCTGTTATGTTTAAAAAAATAGGAATTCAGTTGAGTTTTTTGCCAGTTCTTCTCAATTATATCAGTATACTGAACTGGACGGTAGGGTAAAATATTAATACAAAAAAATTTCGTTCATCAGCGACTACAATGCCCTACATGAATGATTTTTGATTTGATGTACGGCGTAGCAATCTGCAATCCATGCTGATGGGCGCGGATTCGTTCCCTGAACATTTGTATCTATAATATATGTCATCACAATTCACGCAGCGCCATCTAGCCCCAAGCTGAGCAGAGCTTGTGTTATACCCATAACACAAGATCTGCTTAGCTATACATCTGATATAAATACAGTGGACCCCCGGTAGTCCGACAATCATTTTGCAGGGCAGTGTCGGACTATCGAATTTGTCGGATTATAGAGTACTGCCTAAGACCCCTTATAGTCCGAATTTTTTTACAAAAGAGTACCTTGTAATCCGACAAATTATAGATCCAATGATAATTCTTTATATTATATACATATACAGTGGACCCCCGGTTATCCGACAAACGTTTTGCAGGGCAGTGTCGGACCATCGTATTTGTCGGATTATAGAGTGCTGCCTAAGGGTCCCATGCTTATAGTCCGGAATTTTTTACAAAAGAGTATCTTGTAATCCGACAAATTACAGATCCAGTGATAAGATTCTATGTTATATATGTATGTATGTATATGCACTCTGTATATTGTCAAAGTAATATTCAATAACAAATAATAGACAATGTCGGATTTTTTTCCACTGTAAATAATTTTTTTCTGTAAATAATATACATAGAAAACACCCAGATTATACAAATAATCATACTCACGAATACAAATGTTTGTACCGTGGTAGGAATCGAATCCGTGACCATAGGAAGTAAAGCGGCGTGCTACACCATCAAACCATTGAGGCAATCGAAATTTTCTAACAAGCTTTTTGTTTTCAGGTGGCTATATGTGTGAAGATTGTGAGACGGGCCGTCTGCCGTTGTACGGCGAAATGGTGTGGGTGAAACTTGGACACTATAGGTATGTGAAATTCAAAGTAAAATATTAATGTTGTTCTATACTTTATATCTGAACCTTCACCTGAACCTTATCGTTGAGATTATATGGCACTGTGTGAATTGTCAAAAAAAAAAAGATAATGTTTCAGATAGAATAAAGAGAAAAAAGAGCACGAAAGTTTCTTACTCGTTCTTCTTGTGATGAGTCTCCGTTCTTAATGAGTGGAAGAATAAAAAATATGACTATTCAACAGTGCTTTTATTAAGTTTATTTGAATAAATATTATTTCTATTCTAATTAGGTGTAAATGAAAATGTTGACTGTGTACTGTAGCGCGGTGGTTATCACCTCACAACTGTAGCGTTATATATGATGTGATGAGGTGTCGCTTCAAAATTTATTGTTTACTAGCTTTTGCCCGCATCTTCGCTCGCGTTATTTTATCCCCTTAGGGGTGGAATTTATCAAAATCCTTTCTTAGGGGATGCCTACGTCATAGTAGGTTTATGCAAGCAAAGTCTCAGCCCGATCGGTTTAAAATTGACAAAGTTTCATACAAACTTTCATCCCCTATTTTATCCCCTTGGGGGTAGAATTAATCAAAATCCTTTCTTAGCGGATGCCTACGTCATAATATCTACCTGCATGCCAAATTTCAGCCCGATTCGTCCAGTGGTTTGGGCTGTACGTTGATAGATCACTATGTCAGTCACCTATATATATAAGCTGTAGAGTGTAGGTAGTGAGTATACCGGTGAAATAATTGTACTATTTATTGTACATTAGTAAGTTTATTTGGTACTGTGCACTACATGTGCTTATTAGTAACGCGTATATACGACACGGAGTCGTAATACGGAGTGAGTTTACATTTACACTAAACTAAAATAAAACTCAAATAAAACATTGTATCTGTAACAACAGATGGTGGCCAGGCATAATCCTGCATCCGTCCGAAATTCCGAGCAACATTATGGCGGTGAAGCACTCGCCCGGCGAGTTTGTTGTCCGATTTTTCGGACAGTACGATTATTATTGGGTCAACAGGGGCAGAGTGTTCCCCTTCCAAGAAGGTATGTTTATAACTAATCACTATAAGCTATCCCGCACTGTTAGGTTGATTAGTAGAAATCTCAATTACAGATAAGTCGTCCAGCTTTGCTCACTTTATATATAACTAGCTGCACTCGCGACTTCGTCCGCGTCCGCGACGATACTTCCATAGAACCTTTCATATTCCCTTTCAACCCCTTGTAACCCTTTTTTCACATTAAAAAGTAGCCTATGTCCTTTGTCAGGGTCTAGACTATCTGTGTACCAAATTTCATTTAAATCGGTTCAGTGGCTTAGGCGTGAAAGCGAGACAGACAGGCAGACAGAGTTACTGTCGCATTTATATATAATAATATTAGTAAGGATTAAGTTTACTACCGTATTTAAAATTGCAATAAAGAATATATTTTCCACGGATTGTTTTTACTTATAAAAGCTGCTTTTACACGTGCGAATGAACTTTCAGGCAGAAAAGAACGTGCATGTAAAATATATAGGTTTAAAGACAAAGTTGCTGTTCCTAAGTATCGTTTAGAAAAAGCAAGGGTTCTTTTATGGTAATGGGTATAAAATTTTACAAATTATATACCAAAGAAAATACTGTAATTACGTTTATATAAATTTAAAACATGCAATAAATCATATTGTTCACTAAACGATTACTTAAATGACAAACGTACATGACAGTAGTTGTACATGCACGGGATTTTCATTTAATGTTAGACAGACACATAAATTGTTTAAAAAAAATGAGTTTCTTGCCAGTTCTCAATTGGATCTATAGGTATACTGAACTGGACGGTAGAGAAAAAAATATTAATACAAAAAACTTGAAGTTCATAAGCGGCTAAAATGTCTACATGAATAAATGACGTTATTTTGATTCAATTGTACGTGCTTTAGCGCCTTTTTTTATAATCGTCATTGTAAAATGGCGGACATTGGACGAAATAAATAATTATAGAGTTTATTGATAATAATATAAAAAATATATAGGCTCTCCGCCGCCAAATAGCGCACACTCGCGTACATAGCGTATTAATATTATTTATAATAATTCGTCATATTCAGGTGATTCCGGCAAAGTGTCAAGTCAAAAGTCTAAAATTGATGCCGCCTTTACAACTGCAATGGAGCACGCGCAGAGGGCGTGTGGAGTTTTAAAAGGTAATGTTTTTTTAATTAATTGTTATATTAATCAACTAGTAGTAGTAGAGACGGTAAGAGAAAGAGGGGATGCAGATAATGAAATGGGAAGACGAACTGAAGTTAACTGGGCACGAAATAGAGAAGAGTTGCAAATGATAGAGACGGCGAATGTGCTCAAGAACTCCATAGGCTCATTCCTTAAGTACCGAAAAGAGGGCTTATTTTATATGGGAAAATAAGATTTTTTCAAAATATAACGTGCAATAGGCATATCGCATATGAATAAATAATTTTAACGTTATTATTCCTAAATTTGCAGCTGCTCAGCCGAACGAAGAGGAGTCATTAGATATAGCTTCCTCGCTCTTGCCGCCGCATTATGTGAAACTCAAGGTGAACAAGCCGTGTGGGTCGCTCTGTGGGAAAAGGATAGATATAGAAGAAAGTTCACTCACACAGTGCGACTGTAACCCTGACGAAGAGGACCCCTGTGGACCCTACTCGCAGTGCCTTAACAGGTATTACTTTTTAAAATGAGTTGTAGTTTAGACTTGTGTAAAAAATATATAATGAAAATAAATTGATATGGAATGTCTGCCGATTGTCGTAAAGACATATATTTATCTTTATTCATGTAGGTCTATCACACACCTTTATATGAAGTAGAATCTACCGTTAGTTCGGAATTTATTTGCGCTAAGAAGAACTGACAAGAAACTTGTTCTTTTCATACGATATAATGTACAAAAAGATAGTTTCGTTTTTAAATTAAATTGGGGAAAATGTAGTGACCAATATATTTTATTGAATTTTTATGGACTATTTACTCGTGTTTACTTGTAATAGGACGTTGCAATCACAATGTGATGAATAATTTCCTTCCTTCTAGAATGTTGCTAACAGAATGCGGTCCTATATGTCGAGCGGGCGACCGCTGCAATAACCGCGCGTTCGAGAAACGTCTCTACCCCAAATTAGTGCCCTACCGCACCCCGCAAAGGGGTTGGGGATTGAAAACTTTAGAAGAAATTCGAGCTGGTAAGATTATAATTATATAGTTAAGGGTTTGATTTCTTAATAGAGATTGATGACGCTAGTACCAAGTACCTTTCTTTTTTTTTGTGGAAAAATCTTCAAAAGACCTTTCGGTCTGGGGGGTTATGATGGGATCTGTGGGATTTTTACGCATTAAAAAACCACACTGTGTACCTATGAGCGCTATTGTTGCTAGTTAGAATCTCTAGCGGTGCCCTCAGACTAAAGATGTATCCGTGAAGGAAAGTTGGCCTTCAGCCGCTCCATAAGTCCTTCCGCGGTTTTTAAGTGCCATCTGCACTTGTCCCTAAACGTCCGGTGAAGCTGTACAGGCCTGCTGCGGCCAATAGCATTAGAATTGCTCAACATTGTATATATTTTGTTTGTGTGTTATGTTTGTTGAATTAATTTATATATCTTATATATAAAATTATCGTGTCACAGTTTTCGTTCCATTACTCCTCTGAAACTGCTTGACCGATTCTCATGAAATTTTTTGAGAGTATTGAGTAGGTCTGAGAATCGGCCAACATCTATTTTTCATCCCCCTAAATGTTAGGGGTAGTCCCACCCCAAATTTTTTTTTTTAGACAAAATTTTTAGTATCTATTTTTTTATGATATAACATACAAAAATACATACAATCCTAAATTTTAACCCTTCTATCATCAACCCCTATTTTTTTTATAGCGTTATTAATTTATATGCCAAAATAACGTTTGCCGGTACAGCTAGTAATTATTATAAGTATGTATGTATGTACTGGAGTATGGATATCTTTAGGGGAGGTTTTTTGTTCTGCAGTGGATGTCTTCCGGGCTGAAATGATAATGATGTATGTACTAATTGTTTACAGGACAGTTCGTGATAGAGTATGTAGGCGAGTTAATAGATGAAGATGAATTCAAACGACGGATGAACAGAAAACATGAAATACGTGATGAGAACTTCTATTTCTTGACGTTGGACAAAGAGAGGATGATCGACGCTGGACCCAAAGGGAACTTGGCCAGGTATGAATACCTTTTAAAGTATACAGGTTTAGTCCTAAAGGTAAAGCTGAAGCAACTTAGAGACGGTTTTGTGTTTGTAGTAGGTCGAGCGGTTTAGCACTCTGATTTACTTCCGATGGTCACGGGTACGATTCCTCGCACGGTACAAACATTTGTATTCATGAGCATGATTGTATCGATCTAAGTGTTTTCTATGTATATTATGTATGTGTTTACAAAACAAAATGTAAGTATTGATGTCAGTTGTCTAGAGCCCATAACACAAGCTTTGCTTAACTTGGGACTAAATGGTGTATCAAACAAAGATACTCTTGAAAACAAATGTTTGTACCGGCGAGGAATTGAGCCACGAACATCGAAAGTAAAGCGGCGTGCTAAACCACTATACCACCGCGGCCGTCATAAAATCATTACTAAAATATTGTTAAAAGAATCCATACCAAATATTTTTTTTACAAACAGGTTCATGAACCACTGTTGTGAGCCCAACTGTGAGACTCAGAAGTGGACGGTGCTCGGTGACGTCAGAGTTGGACTGTTCGCCATCGACGATATACCAGCGGTAATTATATCAGACTACTAGCTTTTACCCGCAACTTCGTCCGCGTATAATTAAAATAAATATAATTTCTAAAATAAAATTAGCAGTCGGTAATTTGCAGTGGCAGTTAGTTAATGTTATAAGGCGTAACTTAAGCTAAGTTACGCCTTATAACATTATCTATCTGCGAGTGAAAGACCCTTTAATATTGGGCCAGTTGTTTCACAAATTAGTAGGAACAAATAGACATACAAACTTTACGTGTTTATAATATTAGTATTGCTAGAGTATCTCTAAATCGTAAATTAGTGCTAGTTGGTAGTTTGTATTCATATGTTTCGACTTTAAATGTAACCTTACAACCATTATTTAAAAGAGCAACACAAAAGTTTCTTGCTCGTTCTTCTTGCGATGAGACAGCTTTCCGAATGAGCGGTAGATTAAAAATTGTTATGACTATTCAAAAATGCTTCAATGTAAGTTTATTTGAATAAAGGATTTTGTATTCTATTTTTTATTGTTGTAATTTATAGAATAGCGAAGTGACATTCAACTACAATCTGGAATGCGCGGGCATAGACAAGAAGCGCTGTTTGTGCGGCGCGAAGCGGTGTAGCGGTTACATTGGCGCGAAACCAAAGCAGGTTAGTGTTTTTTTTTTTATAAGTTACTGACTGACCCATGCAAATTCGCCATCGTTTTCCCCGTTTTGCAACATTTGTCATTGCTGTTCCTCTCCTATTTGTCATAGCGTGATGTGTCATTTACATCGTAGCTTTCTATTGGTATAAAAAAATTTAATCGGTTCAGTAAATCCCGAGATATCGTCGAGCCGTATAAATATCTGGCTCTGGCGTTTCGACTTGTAAATGTAAACTTACAAGGATTATTTAAAAGAGACAGTTTCTTGTCGTTCTTCTTGTGATGAGACAGCTTTCCGAACGAGTGGTAAATAAAAAACAAATTGTTATGACTATTCAAAAGTGCTTAAATTAAGTTTATTTGAATAAATGATTTTCTATTCTATTCTATTCTGAGACAGTGTTGCCAGAGGTATGGCAACACTGTTTCAGACAACAGCGTTTCATTTAAATCTCCCCATTTGGCGCGAATAAATTATTATCACTATTGATGGAAGTAGATGGATTGGGGAAGGGCAGTATATTATTATAAATACATTATTTCTAGACATATTATAACCCCATATTGATCAAACAACATACAATATACAGACAAATAATAATATTAAAAAAATGGGTGATTGAATTTCGTTGATGGATTTAATTTCCCTATCTAAAATTGTAAAAGAAATATGCAATCGTCTCGATTCCATTTTATTATAAGTAGTATACATTTTCTATCGTTGATTTGTTATATTTGAACAGTGTATTTATAATTTGTTTTTAGACTGAAACGCAACAGAAAAAGCCGAAAGTCGCAGCGAAACGCACCTACAAGAAGCGAAAACAGGAAGGCTCGCCGTCTACAAAAGCGAAACCCAAACCCAAACGGTCGGTAGGACGCCCCACCAAGCCCCGGGAACTAACAGAAATAGAGAAGGACCTGTTGATAATTAAAAGTGCAACAAACGGCCTGTCCAGTGACTCGGACTGCAGCAGATTGAGTAGCCTAGAAGGAGACAGAAGTCAGAAAGCGCAGAAGAGGAAAAGAGTCAGCTTCTCAACAGAAGACGTTATTCTCAACGGCAAAAATTCTCCGTGTGTCAAAAAAATGAAAATGGACGACTACAAAAGTAGTGAACTGGATTGAAGTTTGTGTTCTGATTTGGTTAGATTTTTTTTATTTCGACAGCTGGGTTACTCTTGAAAACAATTCCGATCGGTCGATATTAGAATTGTGTCGTTATGTCACTTTGAAATGCAATGAATTTTACAATATTGTTATTGGATTGAAATTGTTTTATATTCAAGAGCAGACCTGTTTGTCGATAGACTACATAGAATTGTTACTTGATTCGATTCCAGGCAATATTTTCTTAGTAGACGTGATAATTTCAATATCTAATAGGCAATGTGGAACGAGCAATAAAGACACTAAATAAACTTATTACCAATATTAATGTTGCCAGAATTCAATAGCTCTCTTAAATATTAATTTTTCTTGTAGTAGTTTTAATATATAATGACTACATATTAAAATATCATTAACTTTATGATAATTTTACCATAGATAATTACCATAATATTTAGTAGTAATATTATTGTTTGACCATTACCAAATGTATAAATAGAACCGTATAATTTTCTTCCAGTAGTTTTTTATATACTACGGTAATATATTCTATGGAACTAGAGCACAGTTTTCATTGCAAAATATAATATTTCAATATAGCAACTCAGTTTGACTTATTTCAGCCGTCAAGCAGCTTGCTTTGTAAGCTGTTTCGGTTGTATGGTGCAGATTAGGCAATGAAATTTCAGGATGATATCTTTGCTTCCGTAATGGCAACGCATGATTAGTTTCGTGTCACGGGATAACGTGATGTCCGTGATCAGATTAACCGTGATTAGCGACAGTTACCACTTACCATCAGGTGGGCTGTGAGATTGTATGTCATTCCAAATATATTAACGTATATGTTACAGTAAAACATTTCAAATGTTAATTATTGTTTGACATAATACCGAATGTACAACAGACTGTGTTCTGAAGAATTGTTCGACATGCCTACGGCTACCTTTTACCATCGCACCGCTCGCCATCGACAGGGAATTCATCCCCACACGCTAGAACCTAAGTGGTCTCTGACGGTGCGGTTTCAGAGGAGCTTCTTCCCGCGTACATTTAGATCGTGGAATGAACTACCTGCCGAGGTTTTCTCTAGAGACTACAAGAATGAGGTTTTTCAAGAAGGGTATATTAAGAGTTGGCACGCGTACGCGACACCCCTAGGGTTTCAGGCGTCATAGTCTACGGTGACCATTTATCATCAGATGGGCCGTATGCTTATTTATCACCATTGTAGTATAAAATAATATCTTTTGCAGTGAAAATTGGAGATTAAACGTTTTATTTAGTAGGTACCAACATACAGATAATAAAATATAATGTTCTTATTATGAATATATAAGATCTGGATTGAATACAAAATATCTGATCGCAAAAACAAAGTAGACAACGGTTTTATGTTTGAAATACTAAATGTGACTTTATTGATGAAAAAAAAAACATTTAAAAAATATGACTAAAAACACCAAAATTGAGAGAAATATTTTAAACGAGTTTTGGATTTTTTGTAAAGTGAAAATTGTCCTTTTCATAACAATTTATTGTATGTACTGTATTAGATTTGAACAAATGTAGATATAGCTGGTCTAATGTATTCTATAGTTTATACGTACAGACATACAACGCATACTTTATTTTAATGTTAATATTACCTATATAAAGGACAGATCATGTTATGTTTAAAAAATATAAAATATTTTGCTTTCCTTCAAAATAAACGATAAAGCATTATATTGTTGTTTTATTTTACTTTTTACTGACAGCCTCGTTGATCTAGCGGTTTAGTTATATTCATTGCACGGTCCTAACAATGTCTTCATTTCTTTTATGTCCATAATGCTGTTGGCCACAGCAGGTGAAGTTGGCCTTTATAGCTTCACCGGACGATAGGGGACGAGTGCAGAAGGCACTCCAAACTTGCGGAAGAACTTATGGAGCGGCTGAAGGCCAACTCCCGCCTGACGGATACGACTAGTCTGAGGGCACCGCTAGGGTTTACAACCTCGGCTCAGGCCGTCGTAAAATCGATCCCCGAAATGTACTTATGAGTACGACTATTTGTATCGATATGGGTGTTTTTATTGTTATGTATCTATTTACAAAAAATATATATCTAAGTATTTATATCAGTTATCTAGTACCATAACAAACTCTGCTTAACTTGGGAGTAGATGGCGCTGTGTGAATTGTTCAGGGTTATTATTGTAGTATGTTTATCACAGAACAGAAGTGTGGGTGTCATTATTAACACTCAATAATTATGACTCAATTACTTGACTGTCTTATCGAGTACCACTCAAGGAGAAACCAAACTCTCCAACTGATTGCTACTCAAAAGGGATGAAGACATTTGTATGTGTAGGTATATTTTTGATGTGAAACTGTGTGAACTGTATCTTCATTACATAGTATAAAAAAAAGTCGCTGTCGCTGTCTGTCCCTATATATGCTTAAATCTTTAATACTACACAATGGATTTTAAAGCGGTTTTTTTAATAGATCGAGTCATTCAACAGGAATGTTTATATATGTATATAACATATGTACACCCGCGCAAAGACGGGTCGAGTAACTAGTTATATATAAAAATTACGTGTCACGTTGTTTGTCCGCGACGGACTCGTAAACTACTGAACCGATTGCAAATTTGATTTGCACATTGTGTGCAATTTGATCCGACTTGAAAGATAGGATAGCGTACATCTCAATTTATAATTTCAGTATTATTTTATTCAAGAACTTTAGCCACAGTAACGCGTGGCCGTATCTGCTAGTAGACTATAAATCCTAATGTTTTAGGATTTTTCGGTCTATATAGGAGATTTTTCGGTAGTATTACGATTTTTGTGTTCACTCGTTTTGACTTAGAAATGTAAAGTTATAAAGATTATTTAAAAGAGCAACAAATAAGTTTCTTGCTCATTCTTCTTGTGATTAGATAGCTTTCCGAATGAGCGGTAGATTAAAAATATTGTGATGACTATTCAAAAGTGCTCAAATTAAGTTTTTAGCGGCTATGGTGGGACTGCTATTTTATATATATTTATGTATATTGTGTGTTCTTTGTATTGTAGCAGCAGGTAAGGAGGATGCATGCATGTGAAATGATGATGCCAGTGCTGGCTATTTACATTATGTATATTGATGACATATTTACAATGGATATGTATATATAAGGAAGCGATGCGTTCTCGAAATGATAGGCTTGTTAATTTTCTTGTTTCATCGTAACGGTGTTGCCGCACGATGACAGTAAATTCGCCACAAGTTTATTTGAAATAACGACCAACTAGACAGACAGACTGACAACTATTTTTATAATTCCTTGATGTACCGTATACATTTAGTGAAAAGCTGTGAATTTCAAATTACAAACAAAACAAAATTTTATTTATTTGCATAGATTTACCAATCAAATGGATATTTATTTACATATATTTACCATAGCTGTACACAGACAGCGATCAGTTACATATATTTTATAGTATAAAATTTTAGAATCGATACGATTTTATTATATGTAAAAAGATAATAAAGACAACATAATATTTTTTTAATACGCCAATTACCTTTAACCTTTCCCCGACTGATGCTCTGCTTTGTACCGTCGGCAAATAGAAGAACCGATACCAAATTTATATTAATAAATAAAATTGAAAAGTCTGTTTGTAATATCATATGAAAGTATATACGGCTCTTAGGTACGTAACAAAATATTTAAATAAAAATTATGTCTGTTTGTTCACTCTATTCACTGAACTAGCCCTAGTTAATAAAAAATCAGGAATATTTTAAGGAGTAACTTAGGGTATATTTATGTTCGCTTTTTTTAAATAATATTAAAAATTTAGTTTAATTAAAATAAAACGAAAATAAATATGCCATAGGAATTAGTTTAGTTCTGGGAAAGGTAATAATAATAATAAACTTCGGTATAGATGGCGCTGTGTGAATTATCTTGCAATTCACACAGCGCCATCTATACCTAAGTTAAGCTAACTAAAGTTTTGGGTATTAGACAACTCATACAATTTCATTACACAATTACACAGATTTCGTACATAATACATACATATTATACATAGAAAACATCCAGACCGATACAAACAACTATTCAAATGAAACTCATAAATACAAATGTTTGTGCGTGCGAGGAATAAAACCAACGACCATCGTAAATGAAGCGGTGTGCAAAACCGCCAGACCACCGCTGTTGGCGAAGGTGTTTATTTAATTAATATTTTAATAAAAAAAATCTCTGTATCTATATCTGTTTTATTAATATTTGCTGACCGTACGTGTGCCGGTGCGGTTGGATCGCTAGGCATGCCCCATTTATTTCTCATCAAGTCATTAGTCCGCGATGCTGTAAATATACTGATATACTCATATCGTATGGATCATTATTGTTTTATACTCAAAGTACCTACATGAGGAGATGGGGACTGTCAGTAATGTGGATACATACATTTTTAATGCACTGCCCACATAGATCTCTATTTGCCCAATGGTTCACTGGGAGAAAATACCTCATGGTGTTAAGTTCGCCATATGCATCTTATATTTGTGTGTTTGTGCAGAAAACGCACATCCCGTGTAAAAAGGCCGCAACTACACTTGCGCCAAAAATGTTTTATTACATAAATAAAGCGAGCTTCACGGTTTACATCTTCTGTCAAAATCTCATGAAGCTATCGACAAAAATGAAGGAATAAATGCAAAAATACTAAAATTTTGCGACTTTAGAAAACATAAAATTCCAGCATAAAATAGAGGTATGCGTATTTGCATTTATTCGCTTTACAATTATCCCGCTCATAAAGTCATAATTGTATTTACGTAAATTTTAAAAGAAGATTTACAAAAAAATGTTTATCGCAAATATACTTAAATACTTGTTCCTATATCTTACAATCTAGGACTATTGTGTAATTCTAATTACTTACTTCTTCTACGAAACTTTTAGCTGATAGTTTATGTGTGATTATTGTTACATACTTTTCCCCCAGCAAAACATCACAATGCGTAAAGTGTAGTTGTAGTTACTTCTTTATTACACGTAACATTTCATACCTGATGTTGGGTAATTTTAAATACAGTATGTATTTACAAGAAAAAAAAATTAAGAATATGTTCATGTAATTAAAATTAAGTAAAAAAATAAACTATTTTTAGCTAATTGTATAAGCTGACGGCGCACCAATGAT